GTCCTGCTGTCCTACGAGGACGAGGCCGCGGTGGCGCGGCGCGGCGAGCTCTGGCCCGGCGTCCCCTGCTGGTGGGCCAACCGGGGGAAGCCCGAGGCGCTCATCCGCTTCCTGGAGGAGAAGAAGAGCGGCGGCCGCCCAGGTGCGCGGGCGGGACGGTCTCGGGCTCGGGCGCGCGCCCCGGCGTTTGCACGCGCGCGTGTGGGGCGGCCCTGCTGCGTGTGCACACTCCGCGCTCGAGGCGGTCTCGGACCACCGCCTGCACCCGGCCGAGACGCGTGCGTTTGGGGACCCGGCCGGGCGCCCAGCACCCCTCGCTCCTCCCGCAGGCGGCCTGTTCGTGGCGGGCACGAACCTGACCGAGTCGCTGCGCCGCGTGCTCGCGCACCCCGCGCAGTCCCTGGCCGCGCTGACGCTGCCCGCCCTGCCGGCCCTGAGCGCCTGGGTCCGCGAGCAGCGGCCCGGCCCGGGCCCGGCCTGCACCAACATCATCGCGGGCGACTTCATCGGCGCGGGCTCCTTCGTCACCGACGTCATCGGCCTCAACCAGAAGCTGCTCTGAGGCTGGCGCCTGCTGCGCGGGGCTGTGGGCTCCTCCCGGCCCAGGGAGACTCTCCTGCCTCAGCCTCCCCAGGAGGGAGGGGGCGGAGCACGCACCCCCGCGCCCCACTGCTTTCCAAATACTGCTTCACTGAGCATTTTATTCTTTTGTAATCACACAATTAAAATATATTAAAAGCACGGAGACTCGGCCCCAGGGTGCTCCTGCCAGGAGTTCCAAGGAGAGGCCAGTCTGGGTGTCAGGGGGCCCGCTGGTCCATGGGGGTGAGGCAGAGCCCCGTTGGAAGGCCGCTCCCACGTGTCCGTCTGGGGACTCCCCATCCTCTCCTGGTGCCAGGGACGCAGGCCTGGGGCTGCACTCGGCCACCTTGAGCGTGCCAGGAACCTCCTGCCTCAGCGTCCCGAGGGCTGGGTCTCCCTGGGCCAGCAGGAACACAGCTTTCCCAGAGGCTGGGAGGGACCCCGCTGCCACCTGGCCCTGACCAGCGGCCGCCAAGGAGGGGCGAGGACAGAAGCCGTCACGGCTGCTGCTGCTCTGATCTGCGGCTGAGTCAGGCCGGTGCCCAGGTGGTGCCAACCGGCACCTTCACTCTGGGAAGAGCTTCCGGAACCTTCCGTAGGCCGCGTTGCTGATGACAACGGTGACCAGGGCGGCCCCGGCCTCCGGCTGCACCGTCACATCCTGCACGGTGGTTTCCTGGTGCAGCCAACTGGGGATGGGAGACCCCGTGAGCCTCGTGGGCGATGACTGAGGTGTCAGCCCATAATGTCCTTGGGGTGCTGACTGAGGCAGGGCCTTGTATTGTAGGGAGCCAGGGTGAAGCCACGGGGACTCTCCCACCTCAGCCTCCCCCTGCAGGGACCTGCACCTCCCCATCTCCCTGCAAGGACCTTTCCTCTCAACTTCCCCCTGCAGGAACCCTCCCGCCTCAGCCTCCCCCTGCAGGAACCTGCACCTCCCCATGTCCCTGCAAGGACCTTCCCTCTCAACTTCCCCTGCAGGGACCCTCCCGCCTCGGCCTCCCCCTGCAGGGACCTTTCTGAGTGGCGAGCTGACGGCTGTCACACACCTGAGCTGCTGCCCACCCAGTGGCACTTGCAGGGTCACCAGGCGCCTCCCGGTGGTGGCCAACACCGCCTCCTCCAGCCGGGCCTGGAGCTCCCGCAGCCCGAGCCCGCACAGGGCAGACACGGCCAGAGCACCGGGCTCTGCAGGGCTGTACCTGCGGCGAGTGGGCAGTGGAGACTCAGCGTGCGCAGGGACACCGTGTGTGGGGACCCCCAGGCCCTGCACCCCACTCACCCCGGCACGAGGTCCACCTTGTTGTGCACCTCGACCACCGAGTCCAGCAGCCGTGCGGGCAGGCGCAGGCCCCGCAGCGTGGACAGCACGCTGGCCTTCTGCAGCTCCCGCTCGGGGTGGCTGACGTCCCGCACGTGCACGATGATGTCCTGTGGGCCGGCGGCAGGCTCAGCGACGTCTGGCCTCGCGCTGGCGGGGCCTTGCTAGGGTTCCCAGGCCCGGACAGCCTGCAGCCCCCCACCTCGGCCTCCCAACTGGCAGGATGGGAGGCACACGCCTGGCTCTTTTTTACTTATCATTTAACATTACATGATGTACCCCAGATTGCCCTGGATCTCACAGAGCCTCGGGCTTCAGTGTTTTGGTTCTGATGGCCGTATTGTTGTGAAAGAGAAGGGACACAAAGAGAAGACAGAGACAGGGTCTGGAAGGACAAGGCCACAGCCAGGGCCATCGGGAACCCTGCGAAGAGGCAGAGGCAGGAGGGTCTCCCCGGAGTCTGTGGACAGCTGGGACCACCTCGGCTCTGCCCACGCTGCTGGGGCTCACTGCCCTGGGGCCTGGCAGGGGAGGGCGGGGTGGGTGCCGCCTGCTCACCGAGTGGGCCACGTCCTCCAGCGTGGCGGAGAAGGACTGGATGAGGCTGTGCGGCAGCTGGGACAGGAAGCCAATGGTGTCCACGTAGAGCACGGGCAGGCGCGAGGGCAGCTGGCCCGCGTGGGCCGTGACATCCAGCGTGGCGAACAGCTGGTCCCGGGGCTGCAAGGCTGCGTCGCCCGTCAGCGCCCGGATCAACGTGGTCTTCCCTGGGGGCAGGCACGGGTCAGCCAGGAGCCCCGCGTGGACCTGGCTGTGGCCCCGGGCGTGCACGGAGCTGGTCCTCACCGCAGTTGGTGTAGCCCACCACGGCCACCGACGGGAGCTCGCGCCGCGCCCGCCGGCCCCGCAGCAGCCCGCGCTTCGCCCGCAGCCGCTCCAGGGCCCGCCGGATCTTCAGCTCCCGCTCGCGGAGCAGACGCTGCTGCAGCTGCTGGAAGGACTCGCCTGGGACGGGGCAGGGCACATTAGTGCCCTCCCGGTGACCGGGAGGGTCGCCTCAGCCTCCCGAGTGCTGGGATGACAAGTGAGCGCCGCTGAGCCTGAGCAGAGGGTCCAGCTGCACGTGGGTGGGAGGGTGCCGCTCACAGTCGCAGGCTGGCCACCCGTGGCCCCGAGGACCAACCCACTTGCAGGCTAATCTGTGCGCAGGTCAGCGGATTGGTCCCTTTAAGAATTAGTGGATCAGCTCTCTCCTGGGTTACTAAGCTAAGAAGCTCAGGGATTATACTAAGTGATGCACACTACCAGATTAACCCGTTTATATACTAACCCCTCACTGCGAGTTAATCCACTAATGAACTACAAAATCCGCCACTCACGGATTACGGGTTAGTCAGTTCACCATTACGGGGCGCCACCGACCTGGACTTTGGCCCCGCACGCACGAGCCAGCACCCCTCCCTCCACGGACTTCCCGGCCCGCGGAAGCCACTCCAGGGCCTCAGCCCAGCACGGCACACCCCGACTTCCACGCACACCTGGCACCCAGCCCGTGGGGCTCCCCCGGGGGACCACGCAGGCCTCCGCGAGGGAGGTGGCGGGCCCCGCGGGCTCCAGGGCCAGCAAGCGCGGGCAGCGGGGGCGCTCGGCCTACCTGAGCCCATGGCGGGCCGGGAGCCCCTGCCGTGCCGGTCCAGGTGCGCGGGGCTGCGTCTCAGGTTAGACCTGCCGTCAACGTGGGAAGAGGCACGTCAGTGGCCCCAGATGGGGTCCGTCCGGGCCAGAGGTGGCAAAGCCGGCGACCCAAGCGAGGCAGCCCCGCCAGGACGGAGGGCAGGCGGGCGGGCGCTCTCTGCACCCCGCGGCCACCCCGCACCCCTCCCCGGGCCCGCAGCGCCCCAGGCTGCCTCGGCTCGGCTCCGTACCTGAGCAGGGGGAGCTCGGCCAGCGCCACCTGCAGCCTGGCCTCCTTGGTGCGCGCCTTGTGGCGGAAGATGTGCAGGACGAGGGTGACCCGGTCGAACACCTCCACGCCCCAGGCCGCCTCCAGCTCCTTCTGGAAAGGAAACCACGAATCGGGAGTCCACGGCTGCTGGCCACGGCTGCTGGCCACGGCTGC